GTCTGGAGGTTTCTGGTCTCTCTGGTGATCTCATCATCTCCAGCCTGTTGCCATTAGAGGGTGTGTGTGTGTGTGTGTGCAGCCCCGTTTGTGTCTGTGTGTGTTTGAACATGTGTGCGTGTCTGTAATAATGTAGTCCTTTTAGTGATTTAGTGTGTGTATTCTGTTGAGCTAGCAGAAACTTGGTGTGCGGCTGTGAGTGTGTATAAGTACGTGTGTGTATGTGGTTGAGTCGGTAGCCAGGGACTCCAAGCCACAATATTTTCCCCTTCAGTCATGTTGTTTTATATCATTCATAGAGAGGGAGAGAAAGAGTGCGGGGTGGCGTGTGGTTCAGATAAATACAGTAGTAAAGACGTGAGTGATTGCTGAGGAGTGGGTGAAGAAGAGGTGTAGAAGAAGGGTAAGGGTGGAGAGAGAGAGAGAGAGAGAGGTGTAGGACGTGTTTGCTGAGTGGGTTGGGGTTGAGTACACAGTAGCTCCACTGACATAGAAGGACAATATTTGCAGACCACACTCGACATGCACAAACACACACCCACATGTAGAGCGCACAGGGAGAAAATACTCCTCAACAACCCAGGTAGGACTTCTTATTTACCAAAAAGGTGCAGTACACACTGGTTCCTTGACTTTAACACTATGTGTGTGTGTGTCCTTGTAACATCTGAGGGATCTACAGTACCTGGAGATGCTCTGATGAATCAAAGGTGCAACAGCTGTCTGATTTCTGGTTGGTGTTTAGGTTCAGTTTGACATCAGTTACAAAACAGTCAGAAGACCAGTGCACCTATGGCTGCAACTAATGTTTTTTTTAAATGATTAATCAATCTGTAGATAATTTTCTGGATTAATTAATGAAACATTGAAACATTTTCCGAAATGTAAAACAAATAAATCTGCAAATCCTTACAACTCAGAAGCTCAAACTGGGGAATGTTTGGTATTTTTTTGCTTCAGTTATCAAAATAGCTGCTGCTGATTGAGTTCCTGTCTAATCGATGAATCGTTGCAGCTGAAAATACAATTCTGATTCATGATACACAAATCAACAAGCTCCAGCTGCAGGTTGTCTTTTCTCTCCTGAGGTCTCAGGGTTTGTGGAGGTGTACTGAGGAAGATGCTATGCAGCTAAATTGAATTTATTTTCCTGCGATTGTCTAAACTTTCTGTGTCTCATTGTATTTATCCTTTTATGACACACCCCGAGGGGAAAGTTTGTCTTTTTCACAAGGACGGTCTCCCCACTTGCCATCCTGCTGTCACATGTTGCCTGATAACCCTCCTCTCTTCATTTCCCCCTGTCGTAAACACAAACCACCTGGCTTACACCTCCATGCAGATTAAAGCCAACAACATTAATTATCTGCTGCTGCTGCTGCTGCTGCTGCTACTGCTACCATACAACCCAGATCTCTGTCTGTCACTGTCTCCCAAATTACCCCGTGTTTACTCAAACCATTGACGGGACTATTTAGCCCACTAAACTGCAAGTATTACATATGGTAAATCAACTTCACCCTCATGTGAAGTGTCACTATTTCATGACAGGTGAGCAGGAGAGGAATGGTATGTTCCCGTGACGACGTGTCTTCTTTCGAGGACTTGAACGTACTTTGAGTGCTGCAGGGGATTGTTGCACTTTTTTGTGCGAGATTGCCCTCAGATAACCTGTTCTCTAAAAGCTAATTATGACCTTTTCGTAGTGGGTGAACATGTACACATGCCTCCTGTGTTCACAGGTACACATGTAACTGCACCCAGCCCTCCAGTGACAAGATCATTTGCATTTAAAGGAGGCCTCAAGTCACTCACGTCTGAGTCCACAAATAAATTTTTGTGTTTGATGGATGTTTTTTTTGTTTGTCAAAACATAAAACATTTGTAAACTTAATATCTAGTTACGCTTAAAGTCCGCCATATATTTATGAGAAGTATATGAACATTTAATAAATGGTTTATATTTAATTATTACAACTATGTTTTAACTATATTGTCAGACATTATATGTTTATACTGGCATCCACTTATTGTTGCCAACAGGAGGGGTTATAGGGGGCAACAAATATACTTAAATAATTAAATATTTTTATAGCTACATTACAATGTGGTATAAATCTTTTAATAAATGTACTATATATATATATATATATATATATACTACATCTTATAAATTCTTTATAGGGGGAGTTAAGTACAGTGTTACCTAATATCTTTGTGTCAGACAAAGCAAGTATTTGAAGATGTCATCTTAGACTGTGGGAACTTGTGGTAGATATATTTTTTAACAATCTAACAAACATTTTGTACACTTGGGGGAAAAAAACAGTTTCAGATAAATTGATAGTAGTCGTTACTAGTAGCGATGTGTCCTACTCTTTCAATTTCAGTAGCGGAGGGGAATTATTTAAATGGATAGACGCAAGGTGTGGGGACTTCCACAATAGGGACTGATTATTCAAAGCAGTCTTTTGGACATTTTGAATTCTGTGTATCTGTAGGGAAAATACCTGCGCGCTGTGCACATTCAAGCTGAGAAGTCGCTTCTTTTGTCCTTTTCCTGATTCGTGATCGATGTGTTTGTGCTTCATACCTGCTTTTTATTATCGTGTGTGTGTGTGTGTGTGTGTGTGTGTGTGTGTGTGTGTGTGTGTGTGTGTGTGTGTGTGTGTGTGTGTGTGTGTGTGTGTGTGTGTGTGTGTGTGTGTGTGTGTGTGTGTGATTCACAATAGAACAACTGCTTGACCTCTAGTTGAACTACAGTACAATACAAACCCGGATTAGAAAACACACCCTCAAAGACATACGCATGCACACACACACACACACACACACACACACACACACACAGTTCCTACCTGACAGTCTCTTTGTTTCTCTGGAGCTGGGCGAAGGGCGAGGCTTCAGTCGTCATGTTCACACCCTTCCTGACCCAGCAAGCAAGCATCCTGCTCTCCTATTGGTCTGCACCCAATCTGGATTCTCTGTGTGTGTGTGTGTGCTAGGGTGCGACGGCCTGTGTACTTGCCCATTTGTTAATAATTAAAGGCTAACTTGTCTCCAGACTGTGGACTTTAATCAGGTCACACACACACAGACTCCCTCAGGGTACATTCTTTGACAGGTCATGTTGCTTTAATGCTCCAGTGAACACACACACAACCACGCTCATAAACACACTCGTTTAGGCACAAACACAGAGTCATCGCAGCTGCACCTGGCCATTCAAAGCCAAGGTAACTGGAACCACCTTTGAAACCTCACACGCTTTTGATCCAAACACTCAGCAGGCCTCAGGTGTGTGTGTGTGTGTGTGTGTGTGTGTAGAAATCACTGTCTCGTCTCTGACACTGGACAATTTTTAGGTGTATCACCTGTAACTGTCTTGAAGTCTCATGACTCTCATTTACTCATTGTAAAGTTGTCTGTAGCTTTGTCTGAGCGGCTGGAGACAACACCCACACACTTGACAAACTCACATAAAATGTGTAGCTTTTGGTGGATGTGAGGAGAAAATGTGTACAATGTGACAGAAGAATTATGTATGGCTATTGTCTGATGTGATTTACTGGAAGTGAGGTTGAGAGAGCTGACACTCAGACTTCAGACACTTTTCAGGCACCATACTTAACTACAAACTGTCGTCTAGCCTTTCCCTCTGTGATTTACATCTCGTGTGTGTGTGTGTGTGTGTGTGTGTACACATCACTTTAACATCTGTCAAGCAGTTTTACTTTTTATTTCTTTTTCTTCTGTCTTTAAAAAAATACTATTTTATTCATTAGTTACAGTATTTTAACAGTAAAATATAAAAAAAAACCAAGACAAATGATAGTGGTGAAATGTAACTAATTGCATTTACTCAATTACCATACTTGTGGGGTACTTCCATTTTAAATTAATATTCATATTTTAAATAGAAAATAAGATAAGAGAGAATACATCACATTATTAAAGATTTAACCAGTGGTTCCCAAACGTTTTGGCCTTTGACCACCTACAGAAGATCAGTGTTGAGGTCTGTTGTCATGTTTCAGGCGTCTATGAGAGATTTCCCCTTCTTTTAAACAATCCCTTTTAAGGCCTTAAGAGGTAAAACTCTCCAATATTTTCGCAAACGTTGGAGAAAAGTCTGAAAGATGAGTCAAAATTGATGTAGGAGAACTTTTTTTTCTCCATTAATCATCGTATAATAGCTCAGATTGTTGTATTATTTAAGTAAAGTATCTGAGTACTTCTTCCACCACTGGTTCTGGATCACTGAAATGACTCTTGAGTTGTGACTATGTGTACTGATGGCTGTATGTATATGTTTTATTTTGTAGGAGCCTGCCCTGTGCAGCCATGCTGATGTATGATTACCCTCTGAAGACAGACATGGTAAGACACATGTTTGTGTAAATGTAGCTTTTGGGGGTTGTGTGTGTTTGTGTGCTCCCATCATGCCTGAACATGTTTTTGGTGCCATACAGTAACTCTGACCTGCATGCACACGCACACACACACCTACACTGCTACGTGTCTAGACAGACTGGTTCCCACATTCCTGCTCTTCCTGGACAAACAGGCTGCTGTACAGTGGACATTTGCATACAATGGGTACAAATACTGCCAGGCAGCAAGCTAATGAACACACACACACACTGTACTCTGAGACATAACAGTTATCCGCTCCCAAACAGAACTGGGTTAACATTTTTTGGCTGGCTGTAGTTGTTTGTGTGGCAGAAACGTGTTTTCCCTGTTATTCAATGCAGAACGGAAATTTTTAACTCTCTGCTCTTTTGTCCCCCTTCACTGCTTCCCCCCCTCCTGCATCCTTTCTTTCTCTCTTGCAGTCATTCTTTTCTTCGTTAATGAAAACCCCCGAGTCATACGGATTGATCTTCTCCCATCCCACCCACCTCTACCACCCCACGCACATGCACGCCTTCACCCAGTCCCACACCACGAGCAACCCCACACACACCCAGCTGGAGCCCGTGGACCTGTCAGTCAGCAAGCGTTCCTCCTCCACCTCTTCTTCCTCCTCCCCTCCCTGCTCCTCCGCCTCCTCCCCGGCTTCCTCACGCAGCTCCCCGCCTTCCCCCTACAGCTCAGCGAGTCGTGCCTCCCCGCGCTGCTCCCCACCACACTCCCAGCTGCACTCCTCGCCCTCCCACGCTCTCCCGCCACCAACTCCCTCACTTCCTTATTCCACGATGGTGGGTCCTCTCATCGGACCGGTCATGGTGCCTGTCCTCTACCCCTCGCCTCTCCACCTGCATCAGCAGATAATGTTGAGCCCACCTGTCGCCAGTGACGACGACCATCATCGAAGCAGGGAGTACGAGACAGGTGAAGCCTAATTTATTGTTTGAATTGAGTGGTGCTTTAGTAACGTGTGTTGCAGAAGAGCATTTTTTTTAAAACGGAAGCAGTGAGAGGATCATAACAGTGTGCAAGGGAAAGTGCTGCATTACTTTTTCCTCAAATAGGGAAATACCCATTCAGTTTCTTAAAATACACAATACTGTTTTCTCCAGATTTTGTGAGCAAAAAAACAAAATGAGGAAGTGATTTTCATTTTTTTCATTTGTTTCTTAGGGAACCCATGTTTTTTTGTTGTTCTGCTTTCTGTGGTCAGATGGAGGTCACTGACATTCACAGAGTTCCCAATCTCTTAATCTCCTAAATTTAATACACACTTACAGAGAGAATAACAAAATACATAACTGACAGACACATTTTAATCATAGTGTCTCTTTGTATTGCCTGTCTGTACAAGGACTAAAATAATAGCATAAAAACCAAACAACCAAAACAAACACTAGTATTTAGGGTTAAAATAAAGAAATATTCTGCCGTAAAAATGTGGAATGCAAAATGAGAGAAAAATAATTAAGAGAAAGGGTATTTATTTAGAAACAAGACTATGAGTTTACATACTAATATTACATCTAATAATATAGATTATTATTGCAGATTTATTTCTTAACATATTAACAACATGTCACTGTGAAAAGATCCTGACCTTGACCCAGCAATGACCATACTGACCAGCGGATTATTTAATTTCTACCCAGTTCACTCTACGAAACCCCTGGAGCTGCAAGGCGACGCCCACGATCTACACAAGCCAATCAAAACAGAGCCACGTCCTGAGCTCACTCATGACCTCCACAGCAGCCACGAGATGACATCATCAGTCATCAGGATACCGCACGAATACGGGTGAGTGACACACTGACACACTCATACAAATTTTTGAAAGAAGCAGAAAATGTTTCATTAGTTTCACTGTCCGCTGCAGCACTTCTCCTTTAACCTTATATGGAAGTGGAGTTCAGAGGCTTGTTTTCGACCGGATCCATATCTGTTCCTGTTGTGAATTTTTTCAAAACTCAGGTGGAGTCCCAAGACTAGGGCTGGGTATCGTTTGGAAGTTTTTTGATAGTGGGACTGGTATGATTTACTGGTACTGATATTGAAGCAACCCCCTCTTTTTGAAACCTCAGTGCAGTGGTCAGGGACAGGAACAATAACCAATAAAAAGTGCTTTAATGCCTGCAGAGCAATCAATATTCAGTTGACCAAGATTTATTCAGACAACAAAACAACACGTAAAGCACAAGACCGACTGATTGTGACACGGATAGAAAAAAAAACAGGTGATGCTCATCCAGCAAACACAGTACAATCATTGTAACAGAGAACTGTGCGTCTTTTGTGTCTAAAACTCTGGCAGTTTCAAAGTTGAACTTTTCATGCAACTTGAATCCTTAATCCCTGCATCTCCAGTTAAAGTCCAACCGGGGACCTTGGTTGTATGTTTATTCCCCATCTATCTCCATTCTTTTCAGTTGAGTTGTATTAGTGTCTCAATCATGAGCGCGTAATGGGACAATTATCGCACAGAACAGCCCATACATTATATTTTGTTGCATGCAAACCACAAATGTTGTACCACAACTTCAGTAGCAGGTAATTTCTAATTGGCTGTTATTTGTCACAAGGGAAGTGTATGTGGTCGAAATGTCTCATCTTATGCTCAGTAATAGACACAAATATAATGGCATACATTTCCTGTCAACTCCTTTCTGTCTCCTTGTCTTTTAACTGTGCTAAAAAAAAACTCTGGGAAAGTATGCAAAGATGGCAACAGCTTCTCCAATAGAGATGTTCTGATGCTTTTCTAGAGGACCACCCACATAAAAGTAGCCTATATAAAGAAAAAGAGCATAATATAGTCTCTTTAATATATTACTTACTTGTTAAGTGGCATTTGGTGAAGAGCACATTATCAATTTTAGGACTTGAAACTCACAGTTCAGGACTAGGGACTTGCGTGTCTTGACGTGAGACTTGAAAAACAATGACCTGGTCCCACCTCTGGCAGTGGGTGAGCGGATGTTTACTAAAAACTGCTAAAAAAGACACTCAAGTTTGGAGTTTACAGAGATCACACAGAACCAGTAACACAACACCTGTAATGAAAGATATATAAACATACTAACTGAACAGTGCGTGGGGTGTGACAGATTCCTTCTTATCACCTTGGCGTCTTTTATTCTGTCGTTTCCTGTCTCGTCCATCAGCAACACCTCTCATTACAGCCTCTTCCGGCATCTTTTTATCAACCCACACAGGTTCATATCAGCCGTCTTGAGTTTGTCAACTCCTCCATATTCCTCTTCCTCCTTCCTTCCAATCTCTCCTTTCTTTCCTCGCTCAGCACTTCCTGTATTTTTTTAAAGCTCATTGTCCAGCATCTCCCACTCCCATCTTGCCGCCCCCTTTCCCCTCTTCCCTCCCTGTTCCTCCTCACTTCCCATCGTCATCTGTTTTGTAAGAGTGGTTCTTCTATGTAACGGCTTTAAAATGGAAATAATTGCAGTGATACCTCTTGTAGTCTTGGATGTTGTTGTTCTCTCGGTACATATTGAACCCCCCCACCCCCACCCCATCCTCATCCTCTATAGTTATCAGGGTATCATGTCATCACAAGCCGCCGTTGCCGTGGAAAAAAGTGGGCGCGTCTGTATCTGTCATCACCTTTCCTCTCAGCTCACTCATTAAATATACTGTATGTGTCCTATACGGGAAATAGGTCAAGTTTGCTCTGTATGTTATAATAATGGGGTGTGTGTGTGTGTGTGTGTGTGTGTGTGTGTGTGTGTGTGTGTGTGTGTGTGTGTGTGTGTTTGTGTGGCGGGGGATTTTCTGCGCATTCCTTTACGCAGAACTGATCGTGAGGGATTCATATTTCAACACTCGACACCTGCTCTCAACTGCCACTTAGACACACACACACGCACTCTCACACACACACACACACACACACACACACACACACACACACACACTCTTTAATGATATTGCAGAAAGACAACTCCTTTGTGTTTTCTTTTGTTGACTGTAAAACACTTGAAAATGTCACTTTTCCGCTCTGTTCTCCTCAATTTTTTTGTATTCTATTATCGTTTGATGGACTTAAATGCTATAATAACACACACACACACACACACACACACACACACACACACACACACACACACACACACACACACACACACACACACCACACACAGGGTGCGGACTGTTAGAAACCCAATCTGCTCCGGCTCAGTGAAATTTGGTCTGAGATTGAGACTGGAAAGATTTTGGTAAAGTTGCATCTACTTTTTCACAAAGTTTTTAGACTTCCAGAGCTCTTTATTTTCAGCATTGCACGGAAGATTTGCATCAGATTGCAGTGAATGAATTTGTTGAATGGATAAATGAAAACATGAGAGAGGTTAGAGAGACAGGGCAAAGCAAAGGCGTGGTGGACTGGAAAAGGCAGGAGGTGTTTTTCAACTTCCTTACTGGTGGAAGTTGTTGTTGCACTGGGAGAATAGCTGCAACCGGATTTTGCATTTACATTTCAACATTATGTAGGGGGTGTGGTTGTTACTGTGACACCAGCGCCCTCTGCTGGTCAAATAAAGCAGCAATGAACTCTAACATCATAATCTCCTCTTTTGGTCTCTTCTAGGGGTAACAACCCATCAGTAATAGTCAGTCCGGGCACACAGCATCCTCTCCCAGCCGAATCTCCTGACACGCTGAAAAAGCGGCGAATTCACAGATGCGACTTCTCCGGCTGCAACAAAGTGTACACCAAGAGCTCCCACCTCAAAGCACACCGCAGGACACATACAGGTAAGAGTCCTGATTCACACACGAGCTCTGCTTTACCGATCTGTGCAACCTTTTGAAAGCCTTTTTTATTGACCTATTTGTTCTCTCTGTGTGTAGGTGAGAAACCCTACAAGTGCATGTGGGAAGGCTGCACATGGAAGTTTGCCCGTTCAGACGAGCTGACGAGACACTTCCGCAAGCACACAGGAGTCAAACCGTTCCAGTGCCCCGACTGTGAACGCAGCTTCTCCCGTTCCGACCACCTGGCTTTGCACAAGAAACGCCACCTCCTGGTGTGAAACCCTCTACCAGGCAACTTGAAAGAAACTCTGTGCTAGTTTCAATGTCGGACTGTACCACTTTGACTTGAGGGGCGGGGGGGGGGGGTGCTGTTTAAAGAGCTGGCCTTACACATTGGACTCTGAGAGGGAGGTTGGGGAGGCTGCAACATCTCAGCGGGCCTGAGAGCAGCACCCTCTTGTGACTGCAGAACCAAAAAGCATCAACAGCCGCTCAGTTTAAGCCACAGACTCTGTACACGGCATGCTTAAACTTAAACTTCTTTTTTTTTTGCAACATCAGTTCTAATTTCTCTGCATGCATTCAAGTAAAGATTGTGGACTTAAACACACACAAGTTATTTACTAGCTAGGCCAATATAATGTGAAACTTTCCAGAATGTATCATATCACACCTACTGTGCATCGTGTCATACATACTTCAGCTTTCTTCCTGTGACGTAACGCTAAAGCTAACTCCTCCTTTATGGACCCGCCACATTAAACCACCACACACCTCATCTGCCTCTACAAGCTTATATCATGAAGTGACTTTTTAAATAAAAAAACTAAACAACAACAACAACAACAACAGGTAGCTAATGCTCGCTTTTCTCTTGTACATACCTGCACACGGCACACACAGCAGAAAACATGCACTTAATAAAAGCAGCTCAGCCTCGGTCTGGTGTGCTTTTGGTATTTGGGTTGAAACAAATGGGGGGACTCTGGGTCTTGTTCATTGTCAGAGTGAAGTGTTTTTTTTTTTTTTTGTTTTCAATCAGAAATGTGAAAGTTGCTGCACAGGGGCATTATTGTGTTAGTGAGGAAAAGACACCACTTGGTTGGTTTAAGGGTAGAAGCAATGAAAGGTCTTGTGTCTTATATCGAGTTATATATCTATATGAACTATTGTTTGGTTTATGATGTGACCCCATGGTAGCCTTTTTTTATTGTATGACACTTTTTTATATGGGAAAAATAGAAAGTGCAAAGCAGGAACATTTGCTCTTTAATTTTTTTTTTTTTTTTAATATGGAGCAGTTGAGTTTTTATTCTAGCCCTCCCTACAGAATATGTCATTTGAAAGAAAATGCCATTTATCAGTTTTCCTAATCAGAAGTCATAAGTAAAAAAGTATTCTTCTACTACAGCATAATTTTTTTAAATGTTATCAGGATTTTAGAGCACAAATTTCTCTTTTTACAGCTTCTGGAGAAAAAAATAGTTTGTTTATCGCGTCTTTGTACATGTCTCCAATGTGCACTTTATATATATTTATATATATATATATATATAAACATTCCCAAAGCCAAACATTTTTTTAATCACATCAGTAATAGACCTGCTGGTCAGTTTGATCTGAAACATTTAACAGGTGTCTTGGTTTGTCATTTAATGCCAGAAACAGGTTCTTTTATTCACACACAGACTCACACACACACACACACACCGAATGTAGCGGCTCAACTGATCTGCATTTACCCCTGGATATTCTTTGCTTGTAAATGTTTTTTGTATCTCTGCAAATATAAGTTGTAATATATATATTTTATAATTGATTATTAGACTGAAAGGGCAATTAAAGGTTTTTATTAAGCATGATTTTGATACTCTCTCAGTAATGGATATTATACATTTCTATAAAGTTGTGTCTATAATAAACCCTATCTCTTTTTAATCTAAACGTTGGCAATTCAAAGGGAACATGTTAAACTGTGAACATATAACTGTACAGGTCTGTCTGCGATTTTGCATTTATTTTAAAACAGAATATTCATACCACTTAATAAACTTATTGATAATATTTGCAGAACGGAGTGCTGTGTGTTATGTGTTAGTAGATGTTTTTAAATCATTCAAGTGATTTATCAAGAAAAAAGACTTGACTTCAGCTTCATCTTCAGCTTATTGAAAGTGCAAAATCTCTTCATATTTGAGTCTTGGCCTGTCTTATAAGGGCTAATAAAAGCTGATAATATACATATTATAACATTTAAAGATTCATGTTCTTAGCACACTTGACATGTAAGAACCAACAGAGGCACATAGTCACACAGGCAGGCAGTATCGTATATAAACTAGAAATTCCTTCAACACCAAAAACAAAATAGAGTTACGAGTTGTCATTTTAAAACTATCAATATATTGGAATTATTATTATTATTTAAATATTGTGAGGTGTATCAGAATTAGAATCAAAAGTGGGGTTTTTTTGCCAAGTAGGTTTTCACATACAAAGAATTTGCTTTTGTGTTAGCATAATGGTCAAAATAAACAAGAGAAGAAAATAAATCATAAACAGAGGCAGAACAATATAACAGTATATTCACAGTATAAAGGGGAGAAGTGACTTATTCTGTGTGTGTGTGTGTGTACGTACAGCACTGTAGCATTCTAGTTGCGTATCATAACGCAGTTATTTGACCTATACATGATCATTCAATCGCTGTATGATCCAAGAAAAAGCACAAGGTGGGCTCGTCCGGGATTTGAACCCGGGACCTCTCGCACCCTAAGCGAGAATCATACCCCTAGACCAACGAGCCGCGAGATCACTTCTCAACAACAGACTATTAGACGTTTAATAATCGGCGGAATATTTAGTGTTTTTGGTTTGTGTTTCAAGGTATATATACAAAAAAATATTGTTGTTGAGCTTTTAGTGTCAAAGCGCAACGACGCATAACAAGTTAACTGTACTTCCTAATCAAGCATGAGTACGTAACAAAGCGAGATGAGTCACTCATGTACACCTGAGTCTTCGTTTAGCACAGCGGGCGCAGCAATAATGTTCCGACAGACTTTAATTATATTATATCTTATCATATTGATTGGCTGCATGATTTAACCAAACATATTAATGCACACGCACCTTACTTTTGTCATTAAAATTGTAGAAACAATGCATGTTGGAGAAGCCATTCTAGGATGAATCTCCATAGTTACAACAAATGAATTGTCAAACAGGGAATACGTGTCATCATTAGACATTAGGACAGTTTTAAAACACTGTTAATCAGTGTCTTAAATTAGCTGCTGCGTGCCGTGGCTTACTACCAAGCTGAGTTGTTAGTAGTTAGCAGCTTTTACTTTAATGTTGTGTCTATGCGATTAGACTCACAGACGACGTGTACTCTTGAGACTGTGAATGATCTTGTCCGTCGTTACTCTTCGTGGTGCAGTCACCTACCGGCCTGCCGACGTGGCGGGGCGGAAGAAGAGCTGCTGGCTGACACCAGGCGGGTGAGCTGCACTGTCACTTTCACTAAAACAAAACTGTCTTTGAGCTTTTATAACTTTCCTTTGCCTGCAACAACCGACAAGACAAACATCTGCGACAGAAACCAGAAGCTGGCGGTGTCATGAATGTGCTGCAATGTTGAAAATGTGTTTGTGTCGCTCGTTAAGTGGATCATAAAGCTGCGAATAATAGCCTAATTGTGTTGTATTCGTATTTCAAACACAACAGAGGTCTTTGTTGAGTGCTTGCTTGACATCCTTGTGTGTGCTGTCACACTGTAATAATGTGTTTAAACAGTGTTAAAGAAGCAGACGATGTTTTTATAAATACGCAGATAAGGCATATTGATGTTTTGTAATGATTGTTGTGATTGAACCAGTTTTAGTGGTTTGTTATAGGCTATAATTTGATTTCTACAGTCTCTTTAGACAGTTTACGGAATAAGTACAACATGTAAATTCTTAATACTTCAGATCAAAAGGAAATATTGGCGTTTTATACTCATTGTGCCTTGTTAGGCAGGCTGTAGTCTTTTATTCTGGACAAATGTTGATATTATGAAGCGGTTTATTCACCATCTGCTGCATACCGTTTATCGAAGATAACATTGTGCTAAATGACATTTTGCTGCCAGGAAACAGGCTTAAAAAAACTTAACAGTGATTGAAAACATTGGGATGACAGTAGTGATGTGGATGCACGTACAGCGACCGACCACTGGGGGGTGGTGTTGAACCTTGAAGCGTTAAACAAGGTTTTTGGCTTAACTTTTTTAATGTGCACAACTTCTAACACGAATTCTGTTCTGACCTCAAAATTTAACATAGCATGCAAAAAAAATAAATAATAAAAATAGGAACGCGTCAGGAGCAACATAACTGTAAATGTTAATCATTTAATTTAAATTTTTGTAGCATAATTATCAAATAATGCTAATCTGTGATGGTTATTTCCTCAGATATGATACAAATAGCAACAAAGGAAAATAAATGTACCTTTTACAGAAATTATGCATGACTTCCTTTAGAAAACCATTTATTTTTATTGTCTATTATACCTACTGTATTATTACTCTAAATATAAATACAATAAACATTCATACAAAGCAAAAAATAATGATTGTAACAGTTTTCTGTTCTGTATCGACCATAAAGTTTGACCTCAAACATTTGATGTTTTGACTCTTTGGTAAATAATCTGTAATGCTGAAGTTCATAAAACCACATTAACAAAAACACAATTTGTGCAACATTTTTAGAAGTAAAGATGAGGAGAGAAGTGTATGGCGGTGGTGGTGAAGTGATCGGTAGTAATGTTGCAATGATGGTCACCTGGCTGTTAAAATAAGGAGAAATGTTTGCTTTGTATTGATCTATTGATCTGTATGTCTTGAGGATCTGAACTTTGTGCTAATATGAAGGTGTCCGTCTGAGCATGTGATTATTTTACATATTTAAATTAGAGCTAATGATGAGTCGATTATTCAGTTGGTCGATAGACGTGAAGTTCCAACTATTTTGGTCATTTAAGTTAATTATTAAGAAAATAAGGTCTAAAATTCTCTGGTTTGAGCTACATTTTGTAAATATTTATTTTTATTTTTTATGGAGCAAATGATTAATGGAATAAAGAAGTGGCAGGTCGATCGACAGTGTTGATGATGTTGTGAAATGATGCCAAAGTCATCACAAAATACTGTAATCATGAGACACCACAATCACACATAGATGTTAGTTACATTCCCCAAATTAAAACATATGTTTGTACCTTGTAAGTTTAAATGTTTGTTATATTGTTGTTTGTGTTTATGTAGTGTATGCACACTTTCTTAACTAAAATCAGTGATCTCTTCTCTTCCAGATCACCATGTCCCAAGCTGCTGCCCCCTCTGACGCAGACCCCTCTGCTGACATCACCCCTCCACCCACCCAGTCCCCTCACACTGACCAGGGCTCCTGTCAGGATGTCCCAGAAGCCCTTGCACCGCCCTCGGCCCCTCTGCAGCCTCCTTTGATCCCTGAGAGTGTCGTCCTCCTGCAGTCCAGCGAGGAGAAGACCACAGAGGACACCACCACCACCACCAAGACTTCAGAGGGTCCGACTGACCAACCGGAGCCTCCCTCTGAGGGTCAGCTGGTCGAATGTGACCAACCAGTGAGTCTGGAGCCAGACGCTGTAGAGGAGGACGTGGAGGTGTGTAGCTGATTAGTGATTAGTATTGATATTATATTATATATATTATATATTTGTGAGTTTAGAATTGTGATTATTATATACTGTTCAATACTTGCCAACGCTCTCTGGACGACAAACTAA